GAGAGAGAGAGAGAGAGAGAGAGAGAGAGAGAGAGAGAGAGAGAGAGACTCTTGACCACAAAAGTAAGCGAACACCTCGATTCATCCAGCCTTACCTCTTGATCGCGCACAGTTGTGAAACCGAGGAATGAATAATTCCTGTGGTATGCATAGCTGTATCGGCCAAACGTATTCATTTCTTTTTGACGTCAAGTAAATAAAGTCGCCCGAAATCTTGGTATTACGCACTTGGAATAGAACGCACTTTCCTATTGTTATTATTAGAGGAGATCCGGACTCGGCCCCACGATTCTTCTGATTCTCAACTTTGAAAGCCTGTCGAGAGCGAGAGGACGAAAAAAAAGAAGAAAAAGAGGAAAGGAAGAAATTGGAATTGAGAGGGGAGGGGGGAGAGCGAATCGAAAAATCGGCTTTCTCTATCCTATTCGAATTCGAATTATCGTTGAAAGAACAACGTTAATATTATTAATATTATTAATTCGTCGTTTCGATTTCGAAGCGATGCGTACAACGATCGAAGTGATTCCCCCCTCCCCTCCCATGATAACGATTTCCTGACACTGGATGAGCGATCGCGTTCGTCGTCGAACACGACCGTTATCCATTCGTTATCCGATTCATCGACGAAACGTATTCTCATTCTGCTGCGTTGTAATTAAAATCAGATTAGGCCTTTCGAAGTCTTTCGTGCGTTTTCATCGTTGAAGGAGGAGGGGGGAAAAAAGAAAAGAGGAAAATAAACGAGGGGAACGTGTCGGTAAAATAGATCACGGTCGATAAATACGTGGGAACGGATTCACGATTCCTGTTCGAGGTAAAAAAAAAAAAAAAAGAAAAGAAAAGAAAAAGAAAAGGTTTTTCCTTTCGTTCGAATCGTACGAGGAGAGTACGAAGGGGAAAATAGAATTCTTACCGTCGCTACTACATCGGGAGTCGACCTTCCTCCTTTTCAACTTGAGGTCTTGAAACAAGCTCATGTTGTCTAGCTCACACGGGCTGCTCGTAAGGGTCATAATTCCTGGGAACAGAAAGAAAATGACGAAAGTGAGAGAAAAAATTTGAGAGAATTCGAATTTATCGATCGATCGATAAACCGTTGCTCGACGTCTCTCTCTTATTTCAGAAATATAATTTCAGAAAGGGGTGGGTGGTAATAATATTTGAAAGAGAAAGAGAGTTTTATAAAGGGGCTTAATAATCGAAGAATCGGCGTTGCAAAGGATCGTGATCGAACCGAACTCGCGATGTCTATCGCGAGAAACATCTTCATTAATCACGCGAACGTCTGGTCACGTTTCTCTTTCATTGTATCACAATGAAATATATATATATATATTTAAACGGAATTGCATTGCGAAGTTTTGGATCGAGTTTCAGCGCAGGATTCGTGAATAACGAGCAATTTACGGGATATATATGTTCTTCTTTCTTCAATTTTTTTTTTTCTTCTCACTTTGGTATTTCCGTCGAATTACGATCGATGCATTTACGTTTTTTTCAGCGTCATCCTGTATCTATTCCATCCTCTTTCGATAATCTCTAATACATTACTCTTACTCGATTATATTGGCACCGAGAACGAATTGGCATTGAAAAGAACGTTAAGCGTTACACCGATCGATAATCGGACAAGGAAAACCGAGGGAATGCGCGAGAAAAGGATGCGACGATTTTTCGCGAAATTCGTTCGATATTTACATGTATATATATATATATATTACATGTATATATATATATCGATAAATATCAATAAATATTCAACTTCTTCGAAATGAAGATCACGGTTAAATTCTGCTTCGAGAAAGGTTAAGAAACACTGGTATTCAAAAAGTAATGGTCCCCCCCGCAAAAGTTGTGAAAACTCGATGAAAATGTTAGGTTATGTCATATTGTAACGTGACTCGTTAAAAAGCGACGAGCAACTTTCTCGCGAATCACGTTGTCACTACCCGACTACTCTTTCGAGACTCTACTACAACAGCCTTCCAACAACGGCTTTCCCTTTTCGTGGCTCGTTTCGAGAACGCGAACTGGCGGGCTCGAGCAACATAAGACGCTTCTCGACTAGCCGTGGAAGTCATCTCGGCCTGGCCGAGGATATCGGCTATCGCAAAGAGAACGGACCGAATGTGAAAGTACTACAATATACGTACAACGTGTAGGGACGCACGCGTTCGCGATTACGGCGAACGCATAGTTCGCCATTAACCCCTCTTTAGCCAATAGCATACAATTGGATCGTTGCATGCCAGTATCTTTGAGCGGTGCAAAGATACGATTCGATGCCGATCCTATCCTTGCCGGCCGCGAGCGAGACAAGAGCCTCGAACGGGAATCAACGTGACGCGACACGAGTTTTAAGGGAATTAAAAATAAAGGATTTTGAAACTTTGGTTGAGGATGAAAAAATTTTCTTAACGAGGGAAAGACTGATCGAATAATAATAAAGAGACGAGGAGTTAAAGAAAGGGAGAATTTTTGTTTAATCTTATTTTTTTAATTTGGAAGGTTTAAAAGAAGCTCGTATGTATCGACGGGTTTAAAAGCTGGAATATAGGATCTCGTGTCGATTGGTGCGCCAGGTCAGTTTAATAATAACTCGTCCACTCGTCCAGAGTATCCTGATAATGATAAATCGTGTCTTATCGCTGTTTGCCGGGTGTCCGTAATTAATGGCCGGCCAAGACGAGAGCCAGTTTTACGGTCGCGCGCGAGAGAAATGGTCTATGACACACCATGGGTCGTTTTAATAAACGCCGTGTCGTAGATAATACAGGGCAATCGTATGCAAACGCATGAAACCACGCTGGCGTTTTGCGCGGTTTTCTCGCATCCGCGTGCGAACGATGCTGGATAATCGATAACAACAGGTTGACGGGTGATTTTTCTTAGAAAGGAAGAAGGAATAGATAGATTAATTAAAAAGGGGAAAAAAAATGTTTAATCAACGTAGATATACGCCTTGATCCATTTTTACGAATCCATTTTTACGAATCCATTTGTGATATTCGGGATAGGAGATCTAGGAATTGGAAATTAGTGTAAATGTGTATATTACGGTCGCGTGCCAACCGAACGATTGTGCAAGTTTTATCGAAAATGTTTGACCGGTGTAATGACGTCTACGTGACGTAAGCGCTTCATTTATGAAACACGTTCATTCTAAACGCATCTGTTGAACGCATCCGATTTATTCTCAACTTCAATAATTTTGTGGAAGTTTAAATTTACAGACATATGATACCGATCGTTCACGCCTCTGGCTTCCAACCAAGTCGAGTTCCCTATATGCCTTCGACTTGGGCAAATAATCGCGAGTTGTAAAATCACGGAACAACTTTCTCTGTCACGTCAAATGCTCTTATTTTAAGCAATTTCTCCTACTCGCAACAACTCGTGTCGAACTGCAACCATAATGATTTTCCGTATGATTTCTTCTTCTTCGGCATAATTTGCCGTTATATACACAACTCTACGAAAATAGGACAAACGTAAAATCAATTCCGTAATATATTATTTCATTTTGTTTTATTTAAAGCCTCTCGATGTATCTTTCGTCTAAATTGGAATGATCGATGGAAACGAGGTATTTCAATTCGACGAAAATAAAAAAAAGGAAATAATTCGATTACAAGGAGATATACGTGGAGATTAGACGCGAAGGCGTGCAAGTGCAACGTCTAATCGCGTTTCGCGTTGGTTAGCATAGTCGATCAAAGCGCGACAATTTAACTATGTAAAAATATCGATGCTCCCTAACCTATTTTATTTATATCATCGGTTTTCGTTTTGCAATGTTCGAGTTAATTACAAGAATCATACGCCAATTATGAATCCCGATAATTGTGACGCCACTCGATCGCGTAGCTGTTGAAACGTCTATTCAATTGTCCGCGAGTGGAGCGAGCAAACGCGAACAGCTGAAACAGGAAGTTGAGAAACTCTTTGGCCGCGATCGAAAAGTACTGGAAGCATCGAGAAGCAAAGTACGTAATTCGCTTTTCGTCGCGAAACTCCGCAATCGACACTCCGGTCAAGTGCAGCGAACCTTCGTTGGAAAAACTAGACACGACGTTGTGAACGAGGCTTAAATCAACTTTGAGAGCCACGTGGGCGAGTGTGTGCGTGGTGAACGTGTGCAACGCCAGATGGCGTTTACAGGTACCATTACACGGACGAGGCGCATCCACGGTACAGAGGCGCGGGTGCGCATGTGCACGCGCATGCGCATACTTCCATATACTTCCACCGCTCACAGTCGCACGCACACACTCGCGTTAGTCGGCACTGAGCCGGGTATATACGTGGTGCATTGGGGTCCTTGCTCCCTGGCGTATGTGGGTCAGCAGTCTCACACACGCTACTATTCTTGCGTAACCAATGCATGCATACGACCGACAGCTGCCGCCACTGCGGCGTGCACATGCACACATCGAGACGGAAAGTGCAGCCAATGCACTAACCTACGGTCTCTTCTTGAGAGGCCGCCGGCGATCTTGTTGTGTATACCGTGTGTGTGTGCCTGTGTCTGCGCCTCTGTGCCGGGCTCAAAGCCACGCAAGCTCTCGCTATCTCGGCCAAGCTTTTTCGAGGTTCTCGCGCTTTACCTCGATACTCGTGGTATTTGCTTCATTAAACGCGACGCTGTCCTCGTAAGTAGGAAGAGGGAGCGCGAGAGCTTTCCAGATATATCGCTTTTTCTTTTTTCTTCCCTCGGCTACTTTTTTCCCCCCGACACGCGATTTTTAATCGAACCTAGAAAGTTCGATGATCGAAAAGTTGTGTTATTATCACGAGTTAGAAGCGTTTTGAATAATTAAGAATCGTATAAAATTGTATTTCAATATGACAATATTTTTTTTTAAATTAATAGATGTAACGTAAAAGTTATTTTAATAAATTATGTATTTATAATAATATGAGAAAAAAAGACATTTCGGTTTAATAAAAACGTATTTAACGCATTTATTTTTATAAATCACATACGATTCATTAGAAATTATAAGAAAGATTATTTGTATACCAACTGATTTTATTAACGTATTTTGTCGTTTCGTACTTTGTATTTCTGTTTTATTTAGAACACGATAGAAGAGTATATGACAATCAGCTATATTTAAAATGTTTACTATATCAATCAACTCAGAATTTATATAACCGAACGAAAGGTTAGACATTTCATTTTACATAACAGGAAAAGTAAAAATGTTTTTTCGATCTATGGCGATCGACTCGATCGGTGGCGATCGAACGAAATACATTTTTTCCTCTTATCGCTATTTTCTTTCGTGTCGTGTAAACGGGATAATTATTTTTGAAAATTCATTTCCTGGCACTCGTAACAAGAATGTAATCGCAACAGGAAGCGACTTACGTAATCCATCGCGTGGTAAGTGAACGAAAAGCATTAATATTCGATCGAAGTTTTAAAAATTCAATGCACCTTGAATCACTTTGATGACTCAAGATTACTTTAAATATCCCCCTCCCCCCTTCGAACAGATCTTTTTTCCCCCATTAATATAAATTTATCATCCGTTCGTTGTAACCGTTAATTACCTCAACTTTATATAGATCAATTTTATCATACATCTTAATTAAAAATCCATTTTCGCTGTTCGACGAAACAAAGCTAGATAGATCTCTTCTTTCCAAAATGCGAAAAGGACGAAGAATAAAGAAAAGGCGGAAAAGGCGGAAACTCGCGAAACTCGTTTTCGCGACGCGAATAGAAAACCTTGTACGATTCTCGCGCGTTGACATATTTCCGGCGAGTTAGGTACCATCATGTGATGAATCTAGTGAAACGGAGCCGCGTAATTTCACGTAGCACGGGTAGATTGAACCGCCTATAGGGGCCGCCGATGGTGAAAGTGACTCTCCCACGCCATGACATCCTAGATCTATAACTCCCTCCCCTCCTCCCCCTCCACTTCGGATCGTGTCCGACTCCTCTAGCCGCCTCTTCCCCTCCTCGGTTTCTTTCCTCCACGGTTTCGCTCCCTCGCTCGCTCGCTG